CCTGGTCTGCCTGCTGAGCCACCACCTCCTCCTGTGGGGCCTTCTTGTCCTTCTTCGCTGGTGCTGGTGCTGCTGCTGCTGCTACGTCTGCCATGGTTACAAAGCTATACACAGTGCAGGAACGGGGTGGGGGAGAAGCCAGATGAGTCCAATGTCAAACAGAAAACATTGCATTCCCCACCAAAGCAAACGGTGGCACAGTACTGCAAACAGCAGTCATAGAAGTGTATGAAGAATGAAAAAAAAAAACAAAGGAAAAAAGAAGTGCCGAAAAAACCTCAACGCAGACGGCGGGCCTCACGCTCCGTCTCCATCAGTGACAGCATATCGCCCTCCTTGCACGGTCCCTTTACGTTGCGCACAATAGTGCGGTTCGCGTCAGGAGAGCCCTCCTCCGCCATGAGGCGGACACGGACCTGCGTCACGTTACCACGGGACCCCGTGCGGCCGAGTACCTTGATGATCAGACCGACCTGGGCCTGGTCTGCCTGCTGAGCCACCACCTCCTCCTGTGGGGCCTTCTTATCCTTCTTCGCTGGTGCTGGTGCTGCTGCTGCTGCTACGTCCGCCATGGCTAATCGGCAATTCTATTGGAAATTAAAGACATAAAAGTGGGAATGACATATGAAACACGCCTCAGCTTGAGGATGAATAGAGCCACTGCAAACAAAAATAGCAAAATACATGTATGAGCTCCCATGCCGTTAGCTACCAGAAAAATAAGAACTCAATCTTTTTTTTCTTCTCCTGCTGGCAAGTCGCCTTTATGAATCACTTGAAAACGACTCCGTCAATAGTTGTATGAGTTTACGTTTCTCCATATCACCCAACTGTAGAGCACAACTATTCAGATCATGTGGCGATGGGCACTTGAAATCCGAATACACGTAGCTTTTCAAATACACATATGTAAAGAACCCCATCATACCCTGGCAGTCCATGCGGTCTGTGATGCCGCCGTGACCAGGGATAAGATCACCAAAGTCCTTAAGCTTAAACGCGCGCTTCAGACCGCTGGCAAAAAAGCCACCAAAGGGAGCCACGAGCGATGCGAATGCGGCGAGCACCAGCGCGTGTTGTTGTGCTTTTGAGGACTGGATGGTAGTCACATAGGATCCCGTCAGTTTCTGGACAAACGACGGTAAAGGCACGGAGCGCTGCACAAACAAGGGGTTCTTCTCACATCGCATCGGCGAGTGGAAGTCAACCTTTGGGCAGTACAACTGTGGGAAGTAACTGAGAAAGCCGGCGAACCAGAAGGCCCATATCATTGTAAAGAGGAAGGCCCCCAGAAATCCCTCTAGTGTCTTCTTTGGAGAAAGCGCCAGCAGCTTCGTTTTTCCGAAGAGTTTGCCGAACACGTATGCCCAAATATCATTGTTCACGACGCAGCTCACCGGAAGGAGAAACCAAATCATTCCTCGCATCATGTTCTTCAACTGCATACCACCCTGAATAACAATGAACATCAAGGTCATCACTATCCATGTAAACTGAATGAACTGGTAGCGGTACATGCCCTTTCTTAGGCTTAGCACAAAGCCCACGATACCAGTCATGAGGAGACCAAATGCAATCATGCCAATGTTACTGTAGTACGTTGAGAGAGACGGGTACGTGGCTACCAGGGCCTCACGAACGCTGTTTGTCACAACAAGAAATGTGGTGGTTCCGAAAAACCACACCTTTAATATCATCACCGATGGAAGTTGCCGATCCTTCCGCACCCTCTGGTTAATTCTGGTGATCTCGCTGAACATCATACAAAAAATAGCAATGACAAAAGGGATGACCACTTCAACACCTAATGAAATCAGTCCAAGGAATATATAAGCCATTGCAATAGTGAATATTGTCCGGTTGATAAAGTCCTTATAATTTTTCTGCTTTACTGGGGCCTCACTTGTCGGTGACTTCGCCGCTGTCGCATTCACCGGATGTGGCGTACTTCCCTTTAGTGGGGACAGGACTCGTTTGACGCAGTTGCTCTTCATCTCGAAATCTTCTATGCGGGGTGGTGCACAAGACGGAACGGAAAAAAGGGAAGTGCAGCAACGAAACAAAAGCACAAAGTGCCGTAAAACTATGGACGTAACACCGTTGGCCACAGTCACTACATCACCCCCAGCATCATACATGCCTGACCAGAAGAAGGGGGAGGAAGAAGAGTAGGAGGAGGAAGATGAGGAAATTCTTTCGTCTTGTCTTTTTTGTTGCTCCTGATTTCGCTTTCATTGGGTGGGAACGCTTCGGCGTCACTCGGACTGCACGAACGTCACCGCGTTTTCTGCGCAAGTCTGCGCTCTTTCTTCGTATATATTTTTTGTGTATGTGTGTTTTTGTTCGTTTCGCCCCAATTCCCTGCGTAATCACGCCAGGACGGGATTATCAACTTTCAGTGAGTTTTGTCTCTCTTGTAAGGGCTGTCGTGATTGCGGTCAAACCGCACGAGTATAAAATAAAGGGGAGGAGGTAAGTGAGCAGACATGATAAAAGTTAGACGCTGCTCTTCACGACTTTGTGAACCAAAACACACGTCGGCGCAACTCCTTTTTCATCAGCTGCACCTCCTCTGTGCCCCCTCCAGTGAGGATAGAAGCGTTCTCCATGGCCCGCCTGCCCAAGTAATGGATGGTCTCCTTCACGGGACCGTAAGGAACATACTTGAACACGCGGAACCCGGCGTTTTTCAGTGGTATTGTCAGGTGGTCTGCCATGCCGTACAGCTGCGCGAACACGGCGACACCCTTCACCGGCGGAAGGTTCAGGACGCTGGTGGATATCTCCTCAATAGATGTCTTGTTGTGTGTGCCAAACAGCACCTCAAACGGCTTATTGGGTTGGCGGACGAACTCCTTCAAGATGCGCGCCGCACACGCCTGATAGCACTTGTTGGTGTCCTCGTACGTCGGCCACACAGGGCTTGTGTATCGGTACTTGGAGGCCGTCTGTCGTTCCTGATGCATGTATGCCCCGCGCACAATCTTCCCGCCCCAGACCCATCCTTCCTGTTCGGCGCGGGTCAGGTCGTTGAAGATGCGGTCCTCGGCGTACGTCAGGTAGCACTGGTATGTGCCGTACACAATCGGCTCCTCCACGTTGAACTGGCGCTGAAACTGCAGCACAATGCTATCAATGGCAAGCTGGTAAAACGTTTGTTCGGCATCGAACAGAACGCGAACGTGCAAGTCCTTTGCAGTTCGCACGATCACTGACAGGCGGTTTTGAAGCGCCCGCCACAATTCCCGCTCCTCATCCGTGAGAAGCGGGAGCTTCGCCGTGATGAGTTTCTGCAGTGGCGTCGGATCTACGGCAAGAACGGCCTGCGTCACAACCTTCTTGAAGGTGTAGTAGTCCACTCTTCCCTCGTTGGTGGGGTCGAGCGCCTTTATAACGGCGTTCACCTCTTCCTCAGTGTATATGCATTCGGAGCCCAGCGTTGTAAAGCCCCTGCGCACCTGATCCCAGGTGAGGTAGCGCTGGTGCTTCTCTTGCGCCCCCATCACGACCCGGCACTCCTCGATCGGTGGTGCCTGCTCACAGGCAAAATACTGCACCCAGTTCAGGTGCACAGAGTGGAGGATGGCCGACACACGGGCGAGCAGCTGCGGGTCACACATGCCTGTTACCTTCACCGCCGCGAGGCCAACCCCGTTAACTGGTTGGTTAAGCGACGCGTGCATAACGCACATGACGTACAGCTTCATGTTCTCATCGTAGAGGCGCTCGTGCGGGAAGTACGTCACCGAAGTGTTCTCGACGAGACTCGCCATGGAGAGGTCGGGTGCCACCTCCTGGCCGGGCGCTGGCGCGAAGCCCTCCGCGTCCGCCTCTGCAGCGTAGTCAAGGACGGAACCGATGCCCTGCTGCTCAAGTGCCCTGACGGTGTACTTAAGCTCGCGCTCGTCCTCGCCGGCGCAGAAGTGGCTAAAAACGGTCGCCTTCACCACCGTATTGTACGCGAGGAACGGCCCGACAATTGACTCCGCGCGTTTCATCAGCATCACGGAGTTCTTTGAGAGATACTCAATACGGCACACCCGCAGCACGAAAAGGGCACGCAGCAACCACCACAGCGACTTCTGTCGGAAGATAGCGTCTTCGGTGAAGGTCACCGGCCGCAGCGGGACGGGCTGTGAGAAGGTGCGAACGCTCTTGGGAGCAAGTCTGAAATGAATGCGAAACATCACAACGGAGATATGGCTGTGTACTGTGTATAAATTCCTTTACTACGGATTTTGTTTCTGGGGGGGGCTTCTTGCTGCCGCGTGCGGGGAGTAGCCAAATCGAACCCACAATAAGAGAGGGAAAGAAATGGGCAATGATTGCTGTCTGGGCAGAAAACAAAAAAACACGACTGCATGCGTTCAGGCACAATGCAGGCACAATGGCTTAGTCGTGGGTTTCTCTCAGCATCACACAAGAGACGCGAAGAGAGACAAGAGAGCAATAACGAATAAGAAACGCCGCGATACACGCCCCTCATTGAAAGGTGCAGGCACCACCTAAACATAAGCATCCATATATCCATATATATATATATATATATGGATATATATGGATACATGCATCTTTTTCCCCATATTGATCACTTTTTTCTTCTCTGTTCTTCCTTTTCATTTTCTCTTTTTTTTCGGGGCTGAGGTGGCTCGAGGTGCAGCCTGTTGATTTTCGCCTTCTCGGCAAACCTTTCACGATCCGCTGACGGCCATGTGCTTGCTTACCGCATTCACCACGACCACCACCAACAAGACGCACGCAGAGAGATATAAAGATATTCACACGGCCCAGCATACCCACTCACAGAGTGCATAGTGTACATCTCACGCCAACGGCCCCGCACTCGCACACCCGCCTGCCATTGTGCAGACGTCCAGGGCCCGGGTCCAAGCAAAGGGAGGGCCACAGCCAAAGAGCAAAAGCAAGCGTAAACAAGTCAAAGGAGGAAACATAAAAACAAAAGAGTACCGCGCAAAAACAGCCGCCGTGATTCGCACGAAGGTCCGCCGACGCGTCAGCAACGAGGTCATTTATTTTTTGCCCCCCACGTCCAACAGAGCAACGTCAGGGGGGAGGGTGCATAGGGGGTAAAAGGTAACTCCATTGAGCAAGAGTCAAAGGTGTCTCATTCACTATACATCGTGAACAAGCTCAGTTTATTTCCTTTCCTTCTGCCTCGCGCTCTTTCTCTCTCTCTCTCTCTCTCTCTCTCTCTCCCTCCCTCACTCTCTCGTCCATACTCACGTTTATTACATATTTTCAAAACCGCCTTCATCCTTTTGTATTTTGCTTCACGTTTCTTTGCTACACCACTTTTATGTTATAAACGTTTCCATAGTCGTCACCACAGACAAGTCCATACCCAGAGAAGTCACACGCCGCTGCGTACACCGGAGCCCGCAGGGTGAAATCCAAGAGAATCTCTCTTGTGTCTACGTTAAGGACGTAAAACTGTCTGCGCGAGGTGAAAACCATGAGCAAATTGTCAAACTCCACGGGAAAATACACAGCTGCCGTGCAAAGAGCACCGCCTACTCCAGCGCATAATGATTTGCTATCGAAAGCGGAAAAAATGGTGAACGATTCGGCATTCCAAACATTCAACTTCTTTTCGCAGCACGTTAAGATGAAGGTGTCATCAGGATTGTACCGTGTGTGCCATACAATACCATCATGCCCGCCCAACAGCCTGAATGTGGAGAGCTGCTGCGCGTCCACTACATAAGCATTCTTGTCACAGCTTCGAGAAAGCACCACCCACTCATTTTTGGTGTGCTGTGAGGCTAATGACACAATAACACCACTCTGTCTATTTGGTAAATCCTTGAGAACGGCCCTCATCCTGCCTTTCGGGACAGTAAGCTTGCGTATTCTGTTGTCCTGGCAACCCGTGTACAGCAGCTTTCCATTATACGAGAAGGCCACGGCCGTCACCACACCCTCATGCTGGACGCATTGAACCAGCTGGCCAGCGGTTGAGTCCCACAGTATCATTGTCCAATCGCGCGATGCTGTGGCGATATACTTCTTGTCCGGCGAAAAAGCAATACCTAGAAGAGAATCTGAATGCCCCGTCAATTGGCGCACCTCCACACCCGCCGATGTATACAGATGAACGGTGCAATCATTTCGATGAGTCACAGCATAGAGATCAAGATCTAGTGACATCGCAACACATTTGATACGGCCAGATTGGCTCGGCAAATTTACAACCTTGACATCATATAGACGGTGACGAGAAGGGCTCGGTTGGGGAGATGTATTCGTCATGTATTTCTCGAGTGCGGAGTCCAGATCTGCGCTATCGGCAAGTACACAGTCACTTCCCTTCAGGTACCGGAAGAACTTTGAAAACTCCTCCCAATCCAGGTATCCATCCTTGTTTCCATCCGCTGCTGCAAACATAGTGCGTATGGACTCTTCAGAACGAAGTTTTCCCAGCCCTTTCAATAGGTCTTCCTGGGAAACCATTTCTGTACAATGAACGTCTAGTAGTGAAAAGGCACGCCGCAGGTACGTCTCCACATCTTCATCCTCTACTCGCGACAAGAGATTGTCCATTTGTGAGCTAAACTCATTCATGATGCCGCTCATTCGCCGTGTCCGCGCCGCAACACTCGCCCGCTTCTTGTCCTGTGCTGGGGGCTTTGAGGAGTAGCTTAGCGAGAAGGGATCGTCATTGCCGCCATTTTTCTGGCTCTCCCGATCAGCTATGACCTTTTGCAACACCGCTATTGAGACTGACCGCCTGGGGACAGCTTTGGCGCGGCTACCCGTGGAATACAAAGCGGTGTCGGGATCGTAGCCGGCAAAGGGCATGTCGAACCCCGGCTGCCTCCAGCGGCGCCTATCGGGCCTACCGTAGGGTGGGACGCCCGCCCCCAGAGGGGCTCTCCCTGGTTGAGGTAAACCATTGCCAACGGAGCCGCACAACCCCATGACGTGCTATTTTCTCTCCTTTCGTGGAAAGCCTAGGAAAAAATAAAAACAGACACCCCAGCGCAATGTGAGGAAAAAAAAACAGCAAAGAAAGGGGCAAAAAAAAGGGAAAAGAAAAAGGCAAGGGAAACCTACTGTGGTGGTAGAAACACAAACTCACACACGCAGAGACAAAGAAAGGAGAAGAAGCACATCTCTCTCCCACAGGCATCTAGAGTATACAACGTGTAAGGCAAGTGACATCGTACTGTGGCTGCTGGTGTCCAGAATTTGGTACCCAAAAGAGCTTCGCAGCAGATGCAAACGTCCTTCACCTCCGTCAGCTCGTCGGTACTGCCCAAGGATTAGCCACTTCCTCGTATTGAGGCAACAAATGCGTCCATCAGAAGTCGTGACACACAGAATGTCATCCGCGAAGGTAGCCTGTGCTCCAAAGAATGGACTGCGAGTCGTACCTGTCTTCAGTTCTGTCACTGGCTCCTTTGCACTCATATATCGCAAATCCCATAACTTTACACCTCCATCACTCGCAACTGAAACAAAATTAAAAGTATTTTGCACGCAGCGAACGTAGGATACGCATGATTTGTGCCTCACAATAGAATTGAAGGGGCGGCGGGTTTCCGAAACCTGCAACGGCTGAAATTGAATGGTGCCGTTTTGCATGCCACACAGCACACCTTGGTTCGCAAGGGGACCTGCGGAATATGTGTCCACCGACAAAACAGGTGTTGTGTGAAATGTGCGCAAACGTTTCAGTTGAGGAGGCCTGTCGTTGTTTATAACAGCATATAAGAGACGACGCCCCGAACCCAACACAACAAATGGCTCCATCTGCTCTCCAAATGATGAGCTCAAGCACGAGCACGAGTGTTCATCACTCAAGGGAGAAAAACTCCACGCCCTGGGAGCTGATGGTTCATCGGGATCCCAAGTCAAATGTTCAAGACGCTTTCTCCTCACAATAACCACGGCATGGTGGCTAATGAAATGCATTCCAACCATGCACCCGCCGTCACGTGAGACTTCCAACTGGTGCGTCTGCACCATATCATTTTGAACAACACACAAACGTGGTTGAGAGTTTAAATCACCAAAAACAAAACGGCCGTCTGGTAAACTCGCAACGGCGGCACCAGGTGGTATTTGGTACGAAAGATGCTTCCATGTGTTGTTCTCATCACGTAATTGCATGGGAGACATGAGAATGTCCCTAAATCGAGATTCCATCGCAATGCGAAAGAACCTAAAATCTTGCAGCATAGGTGGGGTTGCAGTTGATTTAGGAGTACAACTGGGAGATCCCTTGATTCCACCAAAGAGATAAAACCCTTTATCGTCACACTCTGCGAGGGTGACTCTTCTGCACTCATCCGTAACTTCCTCCCCATGCGAAGCATCCAACAGCTCCACAGACGACGGAGATAAGTAGCGACGCTGGCACCTCCGCAGATTCCCATCACCAAAAAATGCCGCCGCGTTCTGCTTAACTGAGCGTATGTGAAAATACCGCTTCCTTAGAGGGCAGTAAATGGTACCACACCTCACATCTACTGTCTCACCATTGTAAACTGTACTAAGAGAAATGGAAGTGGGGAGGGCCCTTTCTTCGCCCTCTCTTACTCTGGCGTTGCGCCGAAGTGCCGTTCGAAGGTCTTCATCCGAGGAAGATGAAGACCAATCCACTGGCATTCCACAGCCTTACAATCTCAGAAGAAATTATCAGAAGCCAAACAAAAAAAAATGGCCAAGATGGTAAAAAGCTAAAAAAATCCGTAGATGACAAGCTACTACGCAATGTGATAATTAGTCACGGAAAGAGCAAAATCAAAAAAAAATGAATGCGCTGCAGAAGGAAAAAACAAAAAAAAGAAAACAACACGGGCGCTGTAGCACAACAGAACGGAGTAAGAAAAAAAAGACAAATATGTCTCTTTCCCGCTATCAATTTTGGCCTAGACACCGAGATTTTTCAAGAACGCGTTGTTGTTAGGCTCTCGTCCCAAGAACTTCTTCAGCATATCACTGGGGTCCCGACCACCCCCAACACCAATGATTTCTGTCACATAACGTCTCCCAAGATTGGGGTCCAAAAGACCGCTTCGGCTTTTGATGTAATCATAAACGTCGAGGGCAAACACCTTAGACCACATGTAGCCGTAGTAACCAGCACCATAACCAGTGAGGTGGCCAAAACCACATTCAAAGTGCGTACCACTCTCACATTTGATTTCAGGGGTTATGCGTGTTCGGATATCAATCATCAGCTTGGTGGTATCCAAGTTACTTGGATCCTTCGCATTTGCGAACGGTGCGCCAAAGATTTCCAGTGAGTAGGTGGCAAACTCCAGTTGGCGCAAAGCATCCCGTCCACTGAATGCATTTCGGGATTTAACCTTGGCCTCGGCGAGCTTGCTTGGCAACTTGTTTTTGGTTTTATAATGGGACGATATCTTTCGAAGTATTTCAGGTTCCCAAACCCATTCTTCCAACATCTGCGAAGGCAATTCAACAAAGTCCCACTTGACATTTGTTCCCGCAAAAGTAGCCATTCGACTGCGTCCCATGAGTCCATGAATAGCGTGACCAAACTCATGGAAGAAAGTCGTCACATCATCGTGGAGGAACAGTGCCGGCTGATCTCCTGATGGAGCAGGGAAGTTGGCAATGACTACAGCCAAAGCTGGTGAGAATTCGTCTTCGGCACCCTCCAACAGAACAGGGGGAACCACTGAATGGCAGCAGGCATGCGAATACTTGCCATCACGTGGAAAGAGATCCAAAATCACGTGCCCCAATGTTCTCCCAGTTGCCCTCTCCGCCACATGAAGAGTGAAGGCATCCTTGTCCCAAAGCTCCGAGCCGTTATCAATACGCGTAAAAGTTAGGTCGAAAAAGGCCTGATAAATGTCAAACAGGCCCTTTACCGTCACATCAAGAGGAAAATACTCCTGAATTTCTGTTTCGCTGACGTTGAGTTGGTTCTTTTTGATTTGATTCATCATAAACGATACATCATACTCCTGTAGAAGCCCCTCTTCTGTTAGAACACAGCTCTCATGCAAATGCTTTTTTATCATCTCCAGTTCGGACTTCCACTTTTTCTGGAGACGAGGAATAAGATCATCCACAAAACTCCGAGCGATATCGGGAGACTTTGCCATCTTGTCATCCAAGTTAAGATAGCTGTACGAAGGGAATCCAAGGAGCTCCGCCAACTTTTGCCGTTTTGCGATCATCTCTTTCAGGACAGCTCCGTTCATGGGATAGGCTTTGTTGGCTGCTGCTCGGGCCATGGCCTTACGAGTCGCAGCCACCTCACAATTTTTCATCACACCAAAGAATGTTGGATAGTCCATCTTTAAAATGTACATCCCATCATCGGTCTTTTTTAAGCCATTGATGACATTCTCTGGCACGCCCTTTAGCTCCTCAGCCGAAACCAGAACCTGGCTTTTGTCCTCACTGATATTCCGAGAAAATGTTGTGCACAACGCCGATAGCTCTTTTTGTAGAGCCACGACCTCGTTAAACTTGTCTTCTGGTAATTCCATCCCCTTTCGTCGGTAATCCCGAAGTTCTTCCTCAAGCCAGTAAGAATACTCCTTGTTCTTCGAGCCGTTGATGTATTCCTCCTTGTACCCAGGGCTCAAAGAAACCGTCTTAAGAGCCTCAAAAAGACGCTTGTTAGACTGGAAATTATCAATTTCAAATGACTTGAGCTCCACAATTTGCTTGTTCGCTTCCTCCCGGGTTGATTCGTCTGGCAACACACTCATGGCAACGGATAGCAAACTTGTCGATATATCAAATTCAGCAGCCGCAATATCAGCCAACTCGGCGGTGTTAGCAAACGTACGTGAGGCATCCGGGCAGGAGTATATCTCGTTCAATTTTTTCATAGCTCGAGTCTTCGCCTCTTGCGCCACAAGTTGACAAGCCGAAACTGTCTTGGGGAACATTGAGGCACAATTTTTTACATTCCCAACGTCCGCAAAGATTCTAAGGGCCATGGCGAGAATTTATATCAAAAAAGCAAAAACTTTTCTTTTTCAAAAAAAAGAAAAATTGTAATAAAAAAACATGTTTTTGCAACGAAGCCCAGGGTAAATAGAAACAATAAAAAGACTGTTGCCAGCAAGAGAAAATAAAAGACGAAATCCTGGCAAAAGTCTTTTTTTTATTTCTTAAAAACAGCCCACGAAAGTGACGTTAACACCAAAAATATGCCCCTGCAAGAGAGGCGAAACCCCATCGTGGTGGCAGGTTCATGCTCCACATGTTGTTGGAAAAACACACGTACCAGCAAAGGCCGCCCCTTTTGTGGATTTTGCAGTGCTAGAACCAGCTGCGCCAAGCTGGGGAAAAGCGTTTGGCTTGACAATCAAAAAAAAGCGATTGTCGCCAAGTCATCAGTGATATTATTCGCAGTAAGTTACTGCTTAGTGCAAATTAAAAAGAGAATCCCGTTCCTACCTTGAGGGGCATGCAATGGAACCCAGCTGGGCTAACACAAACCACAACGTCTAACCTTGGGCAAACAGCTTTACGATGATAGCATAACGTT